TGCCATCACGATGGGCAGATGGCCAGTCTCATCAGGATGTTCTGCTGAAATTTCTGGAAAACCAGCGTTGTCACTGGTATGTATCGATAGTTTGAAACATGAACTGTTAGAAAAAAATAGCATGTTATGAAGCAACCATACATCAGAGTTTTCATTAGGTGATGAGACAGAAAGATTGAATGTGCCTCCGTTCACTAGATGGAGGGAAATAACATGGATCAGTGCTCACTACAGTAAGACTTCCTTGGGATTCTTCTCTTCAGCACAGGTAGACAAGGGAAGTCAGACGCTTTCTGAGATGGAGTGGTTTGAAAAGGCAAACCCCAGATTTTCTCTAGTTTATACACTGTGGGCTCAGGCTAACATCCCATGATGGAGTAATAGTTACGAAAGATCCAGAGACCTGTCACCTCAGTGTCATGATAACAGGTGGCACCACTGACCCCAGATACACTTGTAGGAAGGCCTTTTAAATCTCCAGTAAGTAAGGGACTAAAGGACCTGGTGAGGTGGTTTGTAATGGGCGTTGCTCTGCGTTTCTGTACTGTCTCACTCACTCTGTGTGCATCCCTATGGATAATGAGATGTCACACACGGAAGGGGCAGTGTTGCCATTGTTAGGTAAAGAAGGGAGAAGGGAAGGACAAGAGAAGTTGCAAAGAGTTTCTTCTGTTCATAGTCTGACGTCAGGTGCTCTGAGAGATGACTGGAAACCACGCCTGACTTCAGCGGGCAAGGTTATGAGTGAGTCCGGCCCAAGGGTCTGACAAAGCTCAAGTGTGGGCCAGCCACTGGTAGGAATGTGGTCAGGGAAAATGGGCCACTGTCCTGCTTCTAAGTGCTCCTGTAGTTGAGTGCTGTCTTTGAGGTCTGTGTGAACATTTGTGTGCGGCCACTTGGGTCCCTACCCATTGGAGAGCAGCCAGCCGCCTTAGGGGCCCCGCAGATCCTCCCTGGGGGAGGGCTGTGGCAGTGGCGCTCACCACTGGCCCCTGGTGGCGGGGTGCTGACATGGCAGGGCTGCCCACGAGAGTGGGAGTCCGTTGAGACTGCCCTCAGAGCCGCGGCCTTGGGGGCTGCTGGATCTTTGCTTTGAGCTGCATGTTGTGCATGATCACAGTTTTATTTTATAGGAATCCGAACCATAGAAGCCCAGGGAGGGAAAAATATGAAAAGCTAAATGACACGAATTTTAGAATGGATATTTTAGAAGATAGTTTCTAAAAATTCTATTTGTGTTCACAAATATAATCTCTGATTTGTTTTGATAAAACTCAAGTGTAGCATACTAAGGAGAAAATTGTAGAAAGAATGTATAGGATTGTAGCCTGGCCATAACTTTGCATTTGAATAATATAGGGACATACATATCCTTTTTGGTATATGGCTTTATTATATTGACCAAAACAAAGTGGCTTTGGAACCAGACTTCTTGAATTTGAATTCTGGCTCTGCCACTTACCACTGGAGTTAACCTTTTTGGCGTTAATTTCCTGCCATTATTGTTGTTTTCTGTGTAGCAGGTAACTGTAGTTTGCCTGAATATTTGTTATAGTGCTGATAAGTGATAACTTTTATTCTGTTTTTAACAGGGACCTCCGAAATAATCTTATTAGTAGTATAGATCCAGGCGCCTTTTGGGGACTTTCATCGCTAAAAAGATTGTAAGTATTTGAGTTGCTTGCTTATGAGTTTGAACTGTTCTTTTTTCTTTTTTTTTTTAAGGTTTTATTTATTTATTTTACAGCTAGATAGAGCATGCATGAGAGAGGGAGAGAGAGAGCACGGGCGAGCGCTAGCAGGGGGAGGAGCAGAGGGAGAGGGACAAGCAGACTCCACGCTGAGTGCCAGGACATGGGGCTCCATCTCACGACCTTGAGATCATGACCTGAGCCGAAGGCAGACGCTTAACCGACTGAGCCACCCAGGCGCCCCCCCCCCATAGAGTTTTTATTTATCCTTTTATATACGTCTGTTCTTTTAATTGATCATATGTCTTAAAAGTCTTTTTTTTTTTTCTTCTAAAGTAGGCCCCACATGCAGCGTGGAGCCCAACACGGGGCTTGAACTCACGACCCAGAGATCAAGACCTGAGCTGAGATCAAGAGTCAGATGCTTAACCAGCTGAGCCACCCAAGTGCCCCTTAAATCAAAAGTCTTAAAGTTAGGTTTTTACATTTATATAAACATATATTGAAAATAGCACATTTACGTATATAAAGTAGCAGTCCATTCATATTTACACATACACGTGTCTGTATACATAGATGCGTGTACACATACACGTATGTAAAATGCTCTTGGCACAGCAGTGCTTAATTCTCAGATTTTCTCGTTTCTGTTTTCATTCAACTCTTCCCGTCCACGTAGGCCACGTGCCTCAGAGGGGGCTGGTCAGACCTCAGCGCCAGGCCTGACTAGGAAGAGGACAGTCCTTCACTCACACTCCAGGGACACGGGGTGAGGAATGGGCGCTGACCAGTTTAACCAAGTCAGGATTTGCTCAGGGCTCTTTGGGAAAGGAATTTCCTTAGTGTCATCAGAACGGATGACTGTACCCTCTAGAGGCTGTCCTGCCACTGGCTTGGGCTGGAGCCGACATCATGGTCCCCTGGAGGGACCTTGCTGAAGCAGGGCTGCCTCTGGGCTGTTACAGTTATGCGAGGCGGTATGTTCCTGTTGGGCTTTCTGTTTCTTGTAAGAAAAGTCACTGCTTGACAGATGGTCTGAGCATGTAGCACATTGCCAGGCATTGAGTAGGTGCTTGGTCAATAATGGAAGGATCAGTGGGATCTTTTCTTTCCCCAGGAAGGATGACAGGGATGCCTAGGTTATAAATGGTGTCTGTTGTGTTTATAAACATGTTTTATTTTTGGCCCCTAGGGTTGCTGTGGTTGTTCATGTACATCATAAAAAGTAGGGGCAGCAAAGCTAATGGTCTGTGCTATGCTGTGAATTACTACCGTTTTTACTTTTACTTTTTAATTTCATTTTGGTCTTTGACCTATTTTCCATCATTTATTGATGATAAATCCGTATACGTGATAGAAACAAACTAGGTTGCCACAAACATATTAGGTGATAGGAAGATATGGCTGTGATTGTTTTTAGCTAAGGGCCTGTTTATACCTGAATCCCAGAACACCATATCTCTTTTGTAGGACCACAGATACAGATGTAGATAGATAGACTCACACATACATACATATATGTACATATATGAGAGTGGGGTGTGTGTGTGTGTGTGTGTACACTTCAGCACACTTCAGAAAGAAAGCAAAAGCGATGATATGGCTAGGCTATTACTATTCTGGCTTTGAGAAGGAAGGATAGGGGGGGCAAGAGTTCCAGAGGAAGCATCCTGTCAATAGGGCCTTTGTCTGTGAGCATGAGCTCAGACAGAGCTCCTTATTCCTCCAGGTTCCTGCTGGGACCAGTGGTTGGAAAGGCCCCAGGGGGCCTGAGACGGTGGCTGGCCCCTTGTGGAAATGCCCTGGTCTTTGGTCTATCTTGTGCTCTAAAAATGAGGTAAAACAAAGAGATCCCCTAGCCAGTGGCTTGACCCTTTGCCAGGAGTTCATGACCCAACACGGATGAATGTCTTCTCAGGCCTTTCCTAGTGCAGCTCCATTCATCCTCTGTGGGCGTGGAAGGTGGGTGTCGGTGCAGGGTGATGGGGAGGGAGGCCCAGGGGGGAACTCAGGCTTTCCTTCCCCTGGAGCCCAGCACTGTCTTTCTTACAGTTACACTTTCTACTGTCTTGTTCTTCTCTGATTTGCTGTACTGATGTTAAAGCTAAAGCCTCTATAGATTTTGTAATTTCCATACCAACTCCTTGAATAATCTCTTGATTCTTTCTACTATTTTCATAGCTCTTCTCATTTCCCTCTCTACCAGGTCATTTAACTTAACTAAAGTACTCTGCCTCTGTGTACCACTGTCCCCTTCCCTGTGACGGAATCCAAAGACTGTCTTGTCCTTCCTTCACATCTAGCAACTCTATTCTTTAAGTTGTAGTCTTTGTATTCTTCTGTGATTTTCTTCACTGTAGGATTCTTCTCATGGACTCTGGTTTGCTGTGGGATCTCATCATATATCTGTGAATCTTAGGGGTCTTCTCTTCCAAGACTCTGCAGAGACTTTAGGACTTTGTCTTGGGTTCTCTGTGTATCAGACACAAGCTGTGTGAATGCAGTGGTTGTATTAGTCTGCTCTGACTGCAGTAACAAAATACCATAGACCGGGTGGCTTGAACAACAGACATTTATTTCCTCCCAGTTCTGGGGGCTGAAAGTTCAAGATCCAGGCACTGGCAGGGTTGGCTTCTAGGGCCGTGAGGGAAGGATCTGTTCCAGTCCTTTCTCCTTGGCTTGTAGATGGCTGCCTTCTCCCTGTGTCTTTCCATGGTGTTTCCTCTGTGTGTATGTATGTCCACATTTCCTCCTCTTATAAGAACACTGGTCACCTTGGATTAGGGCCCACTCCAGTGTCCTCATTTTTAAGTTGATCACCTCTTTAAAGAACCCATCTCCAAATACAGTCCTCTTTTGAAGGAGGAGGGGGTAGGACTTCAACATGGAATTTTGGAGAAACACAATTCATCCTACGACGATGATGTAGCATTTTTGTAGATTTGCTAATGTGTGTTTTCCTTGCCTGTTCCTAATTACTCTGTCTTGGAAGGGATGAAAGAACAGAAAAAAGGACTCAGGTTTGGCCACTGAGTTCCAGAAGTCCTACCTAGTCCAATGTAGAAAAGAGATTTGAGAAAAGGTAACATAAGAGAAACTTCCTCCTTTTCTAGATACACATCCTGTGGACTCACTGGGGAGTTAGAGGCCCTGTAGGAAGAGTTTATATGCTGGTGGGTCTCTAAGAAGGTTCTCGTCTTTGCTTCCCCATCCCTACTGGGTTTAGGGGAAAGACAGGGAAAAAGACCATGTAATAAAAGCAATATATAGTTCTGGATCTAAGGACAGAAGGCCTCTGAGGCCTCTTTCCTGGAGAAGAAGCAAACCCTTGAAATTTCCCAGGGCCCAGTGCAATATAGGAGCAGAAGAACTGGTCACATAGCCATTGAGCCACATGGGCTAGGACAGTCTAGTAGAGTTTCCCAGGGGAACAGCAGAATGGCCCTTGCTGAGCAAAAAGATGGGGTTGTTTGCAAAGATCTAGTGCTCTTTCTACAGGAGACTACTGGCTGGCAGTGAGTGACTTAGGATCTGGGCTACTCAAGTCAAGTTCTGGACTGAAGACCTAGCTAGCCACATAAGTGACTTAAGGTTTTTGTAAATGACATCAGTTTCAAATTTTTCCGAATTACTTCAAAAAACACTGTAGCTGATTTTATTCCTTCACTGCTGGTCATTCCTGTGCGTCTCTCCTTCGGTCTTCCACATGTGAACCTGAGAGCTTTTGGTGCTCCAGCACTGGGCTGAAAGCCACTCCCCTCTGCCCCGGGAACCCTCGGGCAATGACTGAGAGCAGATGGTGGGTAACCACCTGACCGCCTCACCTCTCAGGAGGGGTGACCCTGCAGCTGCTTTAAACTGTCTTCCACGGTTCCCCAGGGGACTGGAGGTCTCCTCACCGGTGTCCCTTGTATGGGCTTCCTTCTCATTAAGGGCTGGCTGGGTTGAATTAACTAGCAAATACACTTCAGAGATTAAGGAAATCTGCAGGTCAAGCTGTCCCTGTCAGTTCTTTTGATTTGAAGAATAGCTTCTGAAGGGGATTCATTTTCTCTCTCTCTTTCTCTCTGATATAATAAAACAAGCCTGGGTGCAGATATCCTTCATTTTAGAGTATTGTGATTCTTTCTCTCTCTCTTTTTAAAAGATTTATTTATTTGAGAGAGAGAGAGAGAGCATGCAAGTTGGGGGAGGGTCAGAGGGAGAGACTCTTTAAGCAGATTCCCCCAACTCGGGCTCGATCTCACGACCCTGAGATCATGACCTGAGCTGAAACCAAGAGTTGGACTCTCAACCGACTGAGCCACCCAAGTGCCCCGAGAGTATTGTGATTCTTGTTATGTATTTGTCAGTATTTAGTGACACTCCTCTATCGTCTAATTACGGACACTAAGATGACATACCAGCAATGTGTTTGACTCCCTAGCTTCTGTTCCATCCCAAATGATGTGATCACCATAGCATCTTGTTCTAGCTATTGCCAGAGCTAGCTGGAGCCAGTAAGAGTGATGAGGGGTATTTAGCTGTGAGGCTTTGAGAAAGATTTCCTGGCTCCTAAAGAGTTACAGGAATAAAGAATCAACTCTTTGTCATAACTTTGTGCTTGGAGGTGGTTTGTGGACTTGGCATAGCCTATCACAATTGAGGGTCAGCCTGAAGGCCAAGTTGATATGCTGAGAGGGGCGGAGAAACCCCTTGGGCTGTCCTACGTCTTGATTTCCCTTAATGCCAGAGAATTTCCTTTATTTTTTTTTTTTTATTCTGAGAATTTTCTTTATTGCTGAAACATTTTTGAGTAGAAGTTTCTGATACTTGCAATTAAAAAGCATCTTTTCTGCTACACCTGGCATTCTTTCCTAAAGGAACTTACTCTTTTTCCAAGAACTATTAACATTCCTTTAATTTTGTTTCAGCAATTCTTGTGCACTTTTTCATTTATGTTTTAGTGATCCAACATAGTTAGATGTAGCGATAGACCCTAAAGTTAGACTTTTGTTCCCTAGGGAAGCTGTGATTGGTAAGGGAAGGGGAGATGTTAAATGAAAAAATTGGACTATAAATATCTTTTGGCAATGCCTGATTAATATGGCTATTATTAAGTATTATATAATATGTCAAGGAGTTTTTATTATTAAAGAAAAAGTGTATCTTTAAATCATATTACAGTACTCAGTTATTCGTGAGAGGTATAACGTAGAAACACATGCAGTTCATCATTGGCCACAAATTTATGGACTGCTTTAGTTAAATCAGTATTTGTTGTAGATGCGGTTTAAAATCTGAAAAGGAAAACAATGTTTTAAAAAAAATGAAACTGACATATATTTCTGTTTGCAGAGCTTTTTTGCTTATTCAATATGAGTCAAATATATGCCGACTGAATTTTCTCCTAAAATATCATTTCTCTTTGAGGTGTAGGATTGGGATCATTTGGGCCAGGGGGAGACAGGGACTAATAAGTTGGGCCTGATG